ACCACCACCACCACCACCACCACCACCACCACCAACACCACCACCACCACCATACTGCTCCGGCCAGATTAAGGGACGTCCAACTACCATGTCTCCGTAAAATGCGACAAGTCGAATCAGTAATTTTCGACGCATCATACCGCTTTAGATATGGGCTAGAATATTCTTCATATACCCTGTAAACTTATCAAATTTCTAGGTGAAGCCATAAGAAACCTCGAAACGATTTGCGATCAAATACTTCATGGCCATGAAATAATAGGTTCAAACTGATCCCTTCGATAGTTTCAAATATAGTAGATGCGTGCTCATCGATCAGTTTACGGAACTTACTCGTCCCGTTGTGCCTTGGAGGTCGCTCTCGAGTCCCGCCAAAAGCCGCTCAAGGACTGGCATATTATAGAGTGGAACTGATAAAGAAAGGGGAGACCGGATTGGCCATTTATGGCTTATTAGCCGTCATCAGTCAGTCATAGCCAATCCTAGAAGTGATGACCTTTGGTCATTGAGTAGAACAGTACCATTGCGCCACGGGCTCGTTTTTCCGCTTCATCATTTATTACAAGTCACTATGCGACTGCCTGCGAGACGAGCATGTTCGGTAAGCAGATCGGTGAGCGCTCTACTATCAGCATATTCCCGACTGCAGCCGCCAAAAACAACGAGCCTTTGATGAAATGGTAGACTGTTGCACTCAATGACCAAGGGTCGCGGGTTTGAACCTCGGGTGCTGCAACAACTGCGGTTGGGTATGACTCGCTGATGACGACTTATAAGCCAGAAACGGCTATTCCAGTTTCCCTTGTCTTCGCCATTTTTGTGTTTCTGCCTGTACTACCTAGATTCAAATATACCTCACTTGCCATTTTACCGTCACCAGTGATTCAACTCGTACAGGCGTGGATTCACACCCAGCGATGGCTCGCTTGCCCCCTCGCATTGATAAGCTTTCTTCAGCTCATATTTCTGTCGGCGTTAGCTACCAACTGTCTGTGCACTCTTGATCACTAAAGGTCTTCCTCTTACTTCGGTATATTTGACATTTGGTTATGGAGAGCAAAATGTCGGTAAATTTTGTCTGGCGTGGTGACGTATTGGACCCCCATGCTGACGTGTAGGTTTTGGATAGACCTTGTAGCCCATAGTGGCAAACATGGGAAGCTGAGGCTCAGTCACCTAAAATACAACCGTGACGTTGAATTTCAGCAAAACTTTACAGGATACAAAACCAAATCGCAGATTTTTATCTCTATGAAGCTGAGTTTTCGAGCTGATAAAGACCTCGGCGAAGAGCTAATACGTGTGACCTTAGTTTTTATCACCACAACAAGCCCATTCATTTGAGTTAGAAAGGCATGTTATGTTTAGGTGACGTTTCTGGCTGGGCTTAATAAAATGATTAGCAAAAAGCTCAGGCTGAAGTGAGGTCGAAGGTTGGGATTAAATCAGCGATCAGGGTTATGTTCGCAGTTAATGTTAGGGTTGAGTTTGCCTGCCGGAGGTCGTCTTAGGCGATCCAACCTTCCTTAACCAATAAACTTGAATTTCCTATTTTTCGTCGGTTTGCACGCTCCCCTAATTTGCATATGTCATACTGCGCGCCTGTTCCAGCACACCACGGGCCCTCTTTGTTAAGTGGACTTAGATCCTTATGAAGGGCCTTAAATAGTGGAAAAAATCTTTATCTGCCTGAGAAAGATCCGTCTTTAAAAAGCGCTGAGCTGTTCGGGATCCAGAAATGGATCCTATCAAGGCATTATAAAGTTAGCTGAAGTAGTTTTAAACTGCTGAAGAATTAAGTTATAGACAGGATTACCAGGGATGTCTGCTACCTTGAGTGCACACTGTCAGTTGGATGAACGGTAGTAGCGTATAATGAGAGAGAGAGATAGAGAGAGAGAGAGAGTGAGAGAGAGAGAGAGAGAGATGGCGATGGCTTTGCACAACTACCACGGTAAAACTCTGGACAACTCTAACTCAAGTGACGGGCAGACAGCACACACAATTATTATACTACTCATGTTAAGCGAGTAGCCAAATATTAACAATATTTACAGGAATAATATATCAACCGTTGCTAGCTTTTCGTCAGCAAGCATGTAATTAGTGTATTGTTTTCTTTCTTGCTTTTGTATGCTTACATTTACTAGCCACTTGGTTACCAATATGGAGCTCAAAGGCATTTGCCTATCGCTCTCTTAATAGAACTGAACCTACCCTTGGTTGTTTGCTCTCGGCACAGTCCTCAGGCACGCGATGCCAGTCATCTTTGCGAAGGCCTCGTTTATCATACAGCCAGAGTCGGTAGGGTTCCATCGGCCCGTGAGGCTCAATGTAGTGTTTCCATGGTTCCGGTTCGCCGGTGCGGAAAATCCTTGCTGGATCCTCTTTCTGTTGAAGGTTTCAAAAATAACACCATAGTCAACATGTGAATATAAAACACGGTTACCCCGGGAATTCGGCATTAATATCAAACTTTCATGTGAACCTGTAGACCCTTGAATACATTGATCTGCTCCGAGGTAGAAATAAATTTGTGAGGAGACGAAAAAAAAAGATTTTTAAAAATTGGAATATCTATCAGAAAGCACAACGAGAACACTCGGGGACCCACCGATGAGTCAGACGCCCCTCATATTAGCCAAGCAGCGGCAGCCTACCGGTGAAACATATGTCTGAACTTTTAGCTGGTACCTGTGCTGCCATTATCGTCAATATATAAATAGGTTAAACAAAAAGACCTTTTGCTTGAAGCCCGAGGCTCCGGTCCTCTCTGCTATGCACAGTCGCAGACGATTAAGAATTTGCGACAAAACAGACTTGTAGGACCCCTCTAGATATCTATCCTCCTCGCCCAACCGCTTTACGTATTTTGTGGTCAAACATTTAATTCTTAGCTTGTGAGTATAAATGAATATGTAACTGTGGCGGAAGTGGTCAAAAATATTTAAATAAGATTATGCTTGTTTTAATATGCAAAAAATAGAATAAAATTCCAGCAAAAGGAAAATTGGACCTTATGTAGGCGGAATTTAAAGAAAATGAAAATTCGATCTCCTACTGGCAGCATTTAACGAAAAAATTGAAAGTTGGGCTACTGAAAATTTAAAGTAGTTTTTTTTTTATTTTAAGTCGACGGGATTTTGGGGCCTCTTAAGTCAGTCCTGCCTAATTTTCTGAGGTAGGTTGCACCTGTGAAGAGCTAAATCACCTACCTGTTCACTTTTATGTGTGCAAATACCTGTATATCCTAATGGAGCTGACACAGTAAACACTAAAGCTCGTCACTTTTGGGATAGGCAGTCTTGGCTCAGTGGTAGAATGGTCGATTAACTGTTCGATGATCATGAGGCCCCACTTCCTTCCCAGATATGTCTGGTAAGTAATCCTGAAGTGACTTTTCCGATTTTCTTCGTCATTATTGATTCTATTTCGCGTTGTGCGCTTATCTGCTACTGCTATGCCACCCATTGACTGCTGACATACAAGAGCACACTACAGGAAGTATAATAACATGGAGCAGTGTTTGGCATGAGATATATGCTTGTCGACTGTATCCATAGTGCTCTTGATAATATTTTACGGTACGGATTCCCTGTGGGTGTTCGAAAGATCCTTATATATTATAGCCACCTACTTATAAATTTAAGTAGGTTGAATTGCCCATAGTCTTCCAGTTTTCTACACGTGATCCGTCGGTCCAGCAGGGATTTGATGGCAGCATTGAACTGCGGAGTGGTCATCCGAAGGTCACCGCATAGCACAAACGCTTAAGTTACTATACTAAGCGAAGTGAGGCTTTTAAATTAACCATGGGAATAACTGCTTACCTACCAGTTATAAGTAGGGTGATTTCCACAATCTTCGCACTTTTGTACTGCATTAACCTTTTTACTAGTTGGTGTTGATGGTTCCACCAGAAAATGTGCCCCAATGAGCTCGCCCGAGGTGAGGACACACTCGCCGTTCGCCGTTGGTCGGGCGGGGGGTTAGCGATTATATTAAAGCCCACTTCAATGTCTTCTCCCAAGGTTTGAGTACGCGACCCAACCGGTCCTCGCAACTTTTTATCTTACGCAAATGTTTCAATCTAATTTATTCCCTGACATGCCCTGCCCGTCCTCTTCCGTGCAATCAGGTGCACGTGAGCCTGAGGGATGCACTTCACAAAGTCCCCAGGAGGCTCCACAAGGAATCCGTACCTATTTTACTTCTTGAAAGCCCGAAAATCACGATGTAAGCTGCTGTAACAGAGTACAAACGCAGGTGCCTACGACAACGACCTAAAGGAAAGAAACATTGGATTTCAAAGATAAACAACGACCAGTTCTGTGGGGTTTATTTTTAAGTGCTTTTAATGTCCCTTTAGTAAACCGGCTTTTATTGCGGACCACTATCTCTGTTGTGTAAGACATTTTTTTATAAATCTACATTTGCAAATGAACAGGAAAATCGGTATTCCAAGAAACCTAATTCAGCAGAAGAAGTTCTTTGGGAAACGATAGTTTATTGCGTGAATTTTCGATACTGGTGACCCAGTGTCGTTATCGTTTCCCAAAGGACTACTTCTACATTTGCAAATGTCCAATACTCTAAAGCGAAGGCGGATTAGATGCTGAAGCAGCCGAGCCCGACCGTATGTCCCATCAACACATCAGAATGAGTGCCTTCAGATGCAGACGTGAACATTACCAACACCGTAGTGAGGAAGATGCGACTTTCAGGAGGCAGTTAAAATGAGGGAGACGCAATCGCTAGAATTCAAATTTTATTCGTCTGATGCCTTGGCCCCCTACTCCAAATATGGGGAAGATATATGTTAGGAAGAACGAAAACGGTGTGGGTCAATGGCC